GCAGCAGAAAGACCTGGGCGAATATGCAGTAACTCCACTAAAAGCTGAAGCAGTCTTCACAGGGGCATGAAAAAAAGAATTTTACCCTGTGCCTGAAACCCATGCTTCAAATCACAACCCAGCTCTCTACCGTAGAGAGAATGAGACCATCTCCTTTACTTTGCAAGCAACTCCTACATGAGGGCAGCAGCAAAAGACAGCCTCAAGTGATCCAAACTTAACATCAGACCACTTGGCTTCCCTTGCACCACGATGAATTCCTCTGTGGATGGCACAGTCAACTTGACTGGCACCAAACATGTAACGAAGCCACGAAATAACTTACAACAGTCACAGCTACTCACCCTCCTGCAGCGGCAGCGTGGAGGCACGTTCTTCCAAAACTATCAGGGGTGTCTATTTCAAAGCCTGCAGACAGCACGTGCTCATTACTAAACAAGGACACTATGCTATACTTTTGTCCTAGTTAAACCACAAGAAACATTGCAGAGACAGAAAAATCAGTTAGTTGGAAAAAAACAGAACGCAAGCAACTACAGTCAGAAAGAGGTTGTCACGGGAACGGCGAGCGGCTGCTTCAGTTTGGCAGCTCTATAAAAAGAGCTGCAAAGTCGACGAGCATCTATTTCCGCATCCAGCTCTGTGCCACATCCCTATTTAAAACCATGTGACAGGCATTTATGAGGCAGATACTTATCAAGAGGACTGAGACAGCAGGACGTGAAGACAGAAAACATGAAGAAATGAGGAAAAACCACAGAGTCAGCCTGAACATGAAATGGGACCGTTTTTATCGTGTTTGGTTTTCAGGTTGGCAAGAGGCTTCCAGGAGCACGTGGGGATATTCACCAAGATGCACAAGGCCAAAGATATAACCCTGGCAGTCTTAACTCTGGTCACTCAGAGCTGCTTCTCTTCCTTCCTGATCTAGTGGTCAAGGCCAGAGAGTGCCAAGGTTTAATGTAATGGTATATGTAATTGCCATTTTTCACACTTTTTCTATATCCTACAGGACTAAAGTTTAGGGGAAAAATAGTTGTAGGAGACTCTACGTGTTAAGTAATGAAGCAATTTTCTAGAAGAAGCACATGATTTGCCTTGTGATTTTTTTAATTCATGGGAACTCTTGCCTGGAAAAAAAGAATTTGGGATTTGACACCTGATTACTGCCTCTTTTTAAATGGTTACATCAGCAAACTCCTGCTTCTTCTGCTTTGGGCTCTGGTGAGGACTCTGAGACGGCTCTCTCGACACTACACTTTCACTCATTTCCCCTCTTGTGCCACAGAGATTTGGGCAGCCTAACTCCTTTACTCTGTACGGATTCAGAAACATTCTTTAGCTGTATTTAAAATACATCATCATCAGTGAGATGTAAATACCTGCACCAGTGCAGGCCCCAAGGAGATAATTTCCTGAATTACTCCTTTGCGGGGAGAAAAACCCAAAACAAAACGGTATCTCACACTCCTACAGTTTGGTAAAAGGGTCCTAAATTTCCTCCCTGCTCTTGGTGAACTCTCTGAACCTGCCAGGAGGAAAGAGCTTTGGGCATGGACAATACAGGATGCAAGGAAGTACCAGCATGCCGTTAGGAAAGCCTGGCACGTTCCCGTACGCTCCACCACGCAGCCGAACACAGCAGCACAGGAAGTCTTTCATTTGAACAATCCACGACAAGGAGTACAAAGGGGCCGCAGGCAGCAGAGACACACACTACTCCAGCTCCACAGGCACCGCGGGATCGACTTACCCGATGACAACAACTTCCTGCAGCAGTCTGAGTGAGCGTTCAGCGCTGCTAAGTGTAAAGGGAACATGTTGTGGATCCCACACCTGAAAGGCACAGCAGCCTCGTTACGTGTGAAAACACAGGTCGCATGCAGACTCTACACATCAAAAGCTCCTTCCACAAAGGCAGCAGGTTTTATCCTTTTCGAGGAAGGTTCTTCCTGCTATGTTATTTTTATCTGTATTTCCTTACCAGCCTTCTCAGGAGTTAAAAATATTCTGATACAGCAACATCTTGGCATTACGCTTTGAACAGAATGTGGCAGGAAGGTTTCTAAAAATTCCAGGCGAAAGCCAAGGTGAGGGAGGAAGCGAGAGACCAGATATTGCTTGGAGACAATTTCCCAGCGTGGGATGCACAAATTTCTGCATCAGCTACACACACCACAACTGCCATTTGGAGGTAAAAGTGAATGCTGATATCTTCTCAATATTATTTCCGAAACCCATTTTTCCTACAGTTAACCTCCTTTAGATAACTCTCATGTGGGTTTTCAAAGCCTCCCCTTCCTCCCTCTCTCTAGGGGCTGGGGTAGTTAATGACTCTTCTTCACACTTTCCTTCAAGCTGCTGTGACACACAGAGTTTTCTTCCCACATCCTAAGAACTAAACATCTTAATTTTCCTATTTGCTCCAGCTACTCTGCTCACACTTCTCTTCACTTTCCCCCTCCTCCTTTAACACATGACCCTCTTTTCAATCACACCATAAACTTCCCAGAGCAGACACACGGGATAAAACAAAAGGTAGGCACCTATCATTAGGCTAAATTTGTATCCGACAACCACGTAGTTTTTAAACACGGTGAGCACTCAGCAGCTTTTCTTAGTATCAGCAAATCATTCCACTTCAGCCCCTAAGCATCCTGCTGTTTACTGTCTAGAAGACTTTTGGGTTTGGACATTTAACCTGGCTGCTGTCATTTGGCATTGTTTTGTGAAAAGCACATTGTTATTCTAGAAATATCATCTTCCCAGCAGTCTGCCAAGCGCACATAAGCATGGAGTCTCTGAAACCAACTATCTCGACAAGATTAGCATCTACTGTCTGCTTCAGCAGATACATTTTCAAAAAACGACAAACTCTCGAACAATAGCAGATGGATTCATATCTGCCCGTCGTTTCTGCAAGACAATTGGTGGATGGGAAAGTATGATCACCTCAGATACAGACTCAAACACAAAGGAACTAGTCTTTCTGCAAGTCTTATCATAAATCATAATTACTTATGAAGCCTTAGACAAAAATGAATGTGGGTGTTTAGAAAGACATCTTGCTCTCTCCAACATTTTATACATACATGTATTTAACTAATATTAACTAATAACTAATCAAAATTTAACTAATTTTGGTTTGTTTTGAAAACACT